TATTTATTTCTGTTTTCTAATATGTTTTACCTTGTTTTTCAGGCTTCCCTTTCAAGCGCCCAAGCAGATTTTGATGCACTGGCCGCTTTAGATCGCCAAATAAAGTCATTTAAGGTGGGCCCCAATCCGTACACTTGGTTCAACATGGAAGCTCTAGAGGAAACTTGGAGAAATCTCCAAAAAATTATTGGGGAAAGGGATTTAGAATTGGACAAGGAAGCGCAGAGGCAAGAGGAGAATGATAAGCTGAGAAAGGAGTTTGCTAAGCACGCAAATGCTTTCCATCAATGGTTGACAGAGACTCGGTAAGTACATTCTAGGTTGAAGATCTGTTTTAACGTTTTATAGGCGCCGAAGTTGAATGAATGTGGACGGTGTGCATGTAGTTTGGGCAAGCAATAAATGAGTAATTTAAGAAAACCGGCAATTGATATTTTGAACGTGGTTGCATTGTATTTACATGAGTTATTATTTTAGTTTCCAGATTTTAGGCTGGAATGGGTAAATATTCATTGATGTCGTACTTTATGGCCATTTTTATCAGCATCTATTTTCGATCAGCTTTATTCAGTGCTTTAACTAAAAATCGCCTGTTGTAACTTTTTTCCAGTTTTACAATGCTCCATCAGTTTTTAACGGCATCTCTTAATTTGATTGCAATATGTATTTGCATGTCTATTAATTGAATTTATTACCTTTCGGAATCTGCATAAATATATTTTAATTTTTATAGAACCTCAATGATGGAAGGTTCTGGATCATTGGAACAGCAATTGGAGGCCACTAAAAGAAAGGCGGCTGAAGTTAGAGCTCGCCGGTCCGATTTGAAGAAAATTGAAGACCTAGGTAGATCAGTATTTTTCATATTATAAACAAGAAATTAATTTGTTGCATATTTTCTAGGCGCGATTTTGGAAGAGCACCTTATATTGGACAACAGATACACAGAACATTCAACTGTAGGATTAGCACAACAATGGGATCAGCTCGATCAACTGGGAATGAGAATGCAACATAATTTGGAACAACAGATACAAGCAAGAAACCAATCAGGTAATTTAAATAAAATTGCATGTAGTGAAGTAATTTGACTTTTTCTATTGATTGCAGGAGTTAGTGAGGATGCTCTCAAAGAATTCTCAATGATGTTCAAACACTTTGACAAAGAGAAATCTGGTAAACTGAACCATCAAGAATTCAAGAGTTGTCTGCGAGCTCTGGGTTACGACTTGCCAATGGTTGAAGAGGGACAACCGGACCCAGAATTCGACGCAATTTTAAGTAAGTTTACCTTTTGAAAAATTCGTTTGGACATAATTTTAATCTATTTTTTTTAATTATTTTATAGATGTAGTGGATCCGAACAGAGATGGATATGTATCTCTGCAAGAATACATGGCCTTCATGATCAGTAAGGAAACTGAAAACGTACAGAGTTCTGAAGAAATAGAAAAGGCCTTCCGCGCGATTACTGCCGGAGATCGTCCTTATGTGACAAAGGAAGAATTATACGCCGTAAGTATTCTAAGCATTATTTGTTGCTGATTTAATTGACCTGAGTTAAAGGTAAAAAAATGACTGTATTTATTCAATTAATGAGATGAATTCATTTAGCATGGTGAAAAGTAATCAGGGCAATTATGGATTTTTCTCTTGAAGTCGTGATTTTTTGTTGGTGCGGCTTATTAAATATATTGCAGTTGAATTAAAATGAATGTAATATGATTTTTAAAAAAGTAACGACCCAACGTATTTAGTAATCTTGCAATTTTAATTATTCTGCAATTGCTGAAAAAACAAATATTCGTCTATAAAAACAATTTTTTCTTTCTATCACAAGACAACTTAACATATAATATTCCCACTTTTGAAATAAAATGTCCTTTTCAGAATCTTACGAAGGAAATGGCCGATTACTGCATAGCCAGAATGAAACCTTATCTGGAGCCAAAAACAGAGCGTCCCATCGCGGGAGCCATGGACTATATAGATTTTACCCGCACTTTGTTCCAAAATTAGTGCACTCGTATTCTTTAACGCTTAAAAATATTTATGCGACACATTTAGAAGTGTATTCGTATTATTGTTGGCTTAGGCTTTAAATATATATTCAAGTGTCTTAAGTAAAGATTATTTATAATATATGTTCGAGATATTATATTAGAAATATAGAATTCATGAATTTTATGCTTATATTTGGGGCTTTGCTTTAAAACTGCCTGTTTGCATATTAATTGTGTTCAAATGGACGACAACTATTCAGTTAGTTATTGTTGAACTCGTAACAACAATTGTATTCTTTTGTACCTTATTTATTAAATAATGAACCAACTCCGAAAATAAACAACTTTTGCTTTATGAAAATTATATTTGTGTTTTATTCACAATTTACTTAGTACCAACATCTTTGATTGAAGCCGCAAAATGAATTGAAGCTTTACTGCTGAACTGGAAAGAATTAAGAAATTCAAAAAAGTATTCTGTCAGAAGTGGGATTCGAACCCACGCCCACCTAAGTGGACTGCGACCTGAACGCAGCGCCTTAGACCGCTCGGCCATCCTGACTATATGAGAATATCCTCGGAGATGGTAACTAAGGTCCTTTATTTCTCTGATTACTTGAGTTCAAAATAAGCAATTTGACATTTTCTGAATGCTGACGAGAGTTAGTTAGTGACAGATTTTATATCGATTTTTGTGTGAGAACATCCATTCTAAGCACTTCAAGTATGAAAATAAACCTTTAGGCATTTTATGGTAATAACAATCTGAAAATATAAAATTTTGAATATTTGTTGCAATTATCTCAATTTTTCCTTCTTTCTTTGTTAGGTTTTCTTTGTTAAAAAGGAAATTAATTTGTGGTTAAGTTTTCTGGCGAAATAAATGTTCAAAATGCACATGGTGGGCATAATTCATTGTGACTTTTTATTTGCCTTTGTTAATAATAACAAGATTCGATTTTATTTTCACATACGTCTTAAGTACTTTTAATAATATTAGTTTTAACACTACAAACTACAAAAAAAATTTTCAACTTCTCACTTTGAAAGTCCATAATTCATAACAATCCAGATCGGAGTTTTTTTATATAAAGTTCTGTCCTTATTTTCAGGTTTTCTGTTGGCCCTATCATTGTTGACAAATAATTTCGGGACACCCTGTATATTGCCTAAATCTGTATTATGTTTTCAGCATTTTAAATCGCAACAAATTAAAGAAGCTGAAAATGAAACAAGAAACTATGGAAAGAGAACCTAACGAAATTTATTGCTTTAAATGTAAAAACAAATAAATAAATAAATACAAAATCATGAGAATCACTGATTTTGTGTAAATAATTTGTATGACCTCCGTTTAATGCTAGACATGCTGTATACCTAATCTACTTGGATTTTATCGATAACGTTTTGAATATTTGGGTTATGATTAATATTAATTTCGTTAATTGCATCCACTATTTTAAGGCGTCTAACTAGAGACTCATACACAATATTCTTTAAATAATCCCCGAAAAAAGAATCAAGAGGCATTAAGTCGGGGCTATTTGGAGACCATTGGATAGGACCCGCTCGTCCAATCCAGATATCAAGATTTTCATTTAAAAAAAACTGCTACTGACAGGCTATTTTGATTTGTTGCTATATAAAGTTTTTAAAACGTAATTTAGGAAAAACGGATGGTACAAATATAGGCAAAATAGATATTTTTGAAATCAGGAAAAAATCCGTTTGGTATGTCTAAAAATATACAGGGTGTTTCATTAAAAATAAAATTACGTCAAAATTTTACATTTCCGTGTTTTTTATTTTAAATTCACATTTAAAAATGTGTTGGTCACTTTCACAAATTTTTTATATCAACTTATGAGGAAACACCCTGTACGTTCCGAATAGATCAAGTAAATTGATATCAAGCAGCTCGTTTTGCACAACAAATAATAGTTTGACATTCATTATTTTTGTCGTTATTGGGTTTAAAACTAAATAAGTGCCTCAAACTAATTTTTTCGACATCAATAAAATCATATTTAACTTCTATCTTGTCTCCGATTCGTATTGGGTTTGTATCTATTAAGTTGGTTGCTTTATGGCGATTTTTACTTTTTGCTAATAGAAAGCACTAATTTTTAAATGGAATCTCCTGTATGTACACTTATTTTACGTAATAAAATGTAGTCACTTTTCTAACAAAACCGGCAAGTTCTTGAAATGTAAGCTTCCTACCTCGTTTTTACTTCTAATTACCTGAGCGGCTAATAAGTGAACTTTGTTGCGCTGAACTAGTAGCAAAATGTCAGGAAGAAAAAGGCGATATGTTGAAATCTTCAATACTATGTAACTAAAATACTACCAAAGCCGTGAACACGTATCATGAATATTCAGTCATCAAGAAATTTTACGCTGTGATTTTACCACCTATTTCTGCAAAATAACTCAACTTTAAAAAGAAAACGGCAAAATGAAGTTAATACACTAAATTAACAAACCGAAATTACCCTCTTGGCATATTTTAAAGCTTTTTCCAGGAAATCTGTGACGTACTTAAATAGGAGAAACAAATCGTCATTTCCATACTATTTGACAAATCTTAAAGAAATGTATAAACATAAATTGGTTACAAAAACTATAAACCAGTTCAGCAAATTCATGAGGGAAATTACAGATGTAAACGGATTTTATGGATTGTTTAACAGGGAAAATATTCATCATTTAGAAAATTTATTTCTAGTCGAACCGCGCTTGCGATTGTGCAGTTATCGAAAGATTATGGTGGCAATTGCCCACTAGGTCTAAAAAATTCATCAGCAATCACAAGTATACTTGGTGGCAGTTTCTAGCATATCCTGAATAAATGATTATTCTTTTCTGGAAAGAAAATAAATATCTGTTTCCAAGAAATATAAGCAATAAAAAAACTTTGATCGGCAGCCGAGATAAAGACAGAAGAACAACTGGAATAATTGAATAAAATCAAATATTTGCCACAGCAAAATGTTGAAAACGGACTAACCCGTTGATATGCGTCAAAATCGACAAACGTTTTCAATCAAAATATTACTAAAAATTTGAATAAAATGTCCTCTAAACTACCAGAGACAATCCTGATGTCCGCTGAACCTCAGTTTTATAAATGCAACCTTAAGCTGTAATTGCTCCACTGGTGTTTCCAAACATACGGACTTATTAATGCCATTCTTTCAGAAACGAGCAGGTAATGAAATTTAATCCCACTCAGTCAATCGAATGCAATCCAGTAAAAGGGATCGGATTGAACTCTTATTACTTAAACATGCGGCATGAGCTGCATAGCTTAGGTCAGCTATCTTTGCAAGAAAGACGAGACAAAATGAAACGACGTCTAATCGAAGATTTTCGAATAGAAGAAAAAGAACTTAATGATGTGGATCTAGGGTACATTGAAACACAGCGCTAAATCTCAATACTGAAACTAAATTCGGGAAAATTCATTAAATATGGGTAAATTTCATTAAAACAAGTAGTTAAATAGAACATCTCATATTTAATAGTTTTTTAGTTTATACAGTGATAATATTAATAACATTTCTGCACTAATTCAGTACGTATTCTTATTGACTAGAATAACTATGATATTTATACAAAAGAATAGACATTGCAAAAATGTTATTTAACAGAAACATGATTTTCACAAATTTTAGGCGTACATTAGTTGACATTTTCGAAAACCACATTTGTTGAAACTGACTTAAAACTAGAAACTGGCGCAGATGAGCCTGTTGAACCTGAGTGGAAGAAGAAAGAAGAACAAATTAATTCTAGACCTAAAGGAGAAAGAAAAGGGTAATCGAGCGCAGTGCCGATTACACTTTGGAAAATTACACTTATTTATTTACTAAGTTAAACATTCGTGTTTAAGTTATCAATTAAATATATAAGTATATAGATGGTAGGTGTTTTCTGTTCTGAGTTGATCGATTACCCTTTTATTTTCCCTTTAGGTCTAGAATGACATCTTCTTTCGTTTCTTCCACTCAGGATCAACAGGCTGATCTGCGCCAGTTTCGAGTTTCAAGTCAGTTTCAACAAATGATGTGGTTTTCGGTACAGTCGGCGCATTCCTCTTTTGGGATGCAGCATATTGACTCGGTTCTGATGTCTGAATGAACTGATTCAGGATACAAGTCGTTTAAGTTACTTTTTACTTTATCGCCGTTTGTCTTCTGTCGACATTTATCTTGAGCAGCACGTTTCTTTAAAGGAGCACTACGAGTGGCCGGGACAGTTTGCTCTATGTTTAGAGCAGGTGATTCGACAGAATCACCATCCCCCATTATTTATATGTTCTGTTAAACTTAAACTGGCCTCTATTTTGGTATCAAAATATGCACTTCTAGCAATAACATAAATGCAGCTTAAAAATATGCTCCTTTTGAAGTCGAACTCACAAAATTGAAGCAGTTATAAGAGCAGTAATAAATCAAATGGTCATTTAATTATCATTAGCCTTCTGAAAAGTAGTTTTTCCATTAATTGCCGCTTCTTCAAATTGGGATAACTTTATCTGCTCGATAATTCCTGTAGTTTCAATTATTAGTGCAATAATTGCTATGGACATTATTTACTAGATAACGTTATTCAAAGATGAATAAAGGGCCTCAAAAGCATTAAAAAAATTACTTCTCTCAGTTGCCACATTAACAGCAATGAAAATAATTATCTGCTGCAATTAATTCATCGTCTCGAAGGAACAAAATACTATTACAAAACCGGCAAATTTTTCAAACTAACATCTGCCCAGTTAGTAAGAATAAAGACGCAACTAAACCAAAACTGTTCTTTCCAGGGTCGTAGATACAAAACCCTCAAACTCAAACTTAATAACTAAAAAATAACTAGAATGCGAACAATAAATTAAATCCTTAAACTTATGATTTATACTGCTTTAACATATACAAAGCAGCTATGACTAAAAAACTGGACTAGCCATGATACTAAGCCGAACGTTAGTAGAACTTGCAGTTTTCAATTCTTTGGTTGGATTTATTTGGAGCCTCGTATTAACAGTTTCTGATATTTCAAATGTTATTCTAAACCAAAAAACAAGTAGTTTTATCCAAATTTTAGACAACCATTAAGAAACTTTCTGGATAATTTTCTAATGGCAAATTTAGGAGAAACGATTGCTTAACTAGTGGTTAACTGAAGGCTCTAAATAGTGATCTCGACTTAACCTAATTGACTATCTGAATGCGAGAATTGGTAATTTTGCCGTATGAAAGTGATGGGTTATGTACAAGAGTAAATAACGAACTGTACAGATTAAACACAAGAAATATAAGTTCAGAACACTAGTTTCCATAAAAAAATACACACACATACAATTTCAGTCTTCTTACAAATGTCTATCGTTTTTGGAAGCACTTTGATAGTAACTTTCATTCGAGTAATTTGTCATTTATTCGGTAGTAAGATTTCTTAAATGAATGAATGAAAGTGAGTGATGGCGAGGTCCATGCGAAAAAAGATCGAATTCCCATCTAGTTGGTAACAGTGTTAGACCAGCGCATTCTTTTTTATAGTTTTGGGATATGCTGACTAGTTCTTATAAATAAATAATTTCAATGAAAAATAGGTCTAACTGATCAACGAAACTAAGGAAAATACTATAAATGGTGCTTCTTACGACTTATATGTCCTTATCACGTCTCTTATAACCGCTCTGCAAAGCGGACAATGACCGCCTCCTTTTCCTCGCCATTGTTGAAGTGCACACTCGTAGCACATACACATATGACCGCACATATATAAAACTGCATCTATAGAATTTTCATAGCATATTGTGCATTCTGCGCCAGCGGTCAATGTATGAGTTGTGCCAGCGCAGTTTTGTTCTGCCCAGCTAAGGGGCGTTGAGTAGGTACTTGAATCGGATACGTTGATAGGCTGAAATAAAAAACAATTTATTAGTAAAATGTACTTCGTACACTAGTCAAAAATCAATTTTGAACATTTTTATTTTATACAGAAATGGCTAATGTGTGGAAAAAATTATTCCAGTACTATTCGCGAGTTCAACTACCAATGGGAGCGCAGCGAAACGTCAAATTACTCATTGCCGAGTGACTTGTCAGACTTGCCTATCTATTGGAAGTTGGCAATCAAGCGAAAAGTGACAGTTGAAATTGTGACAAAAATGAATGTGAATGAATTAATACATTGTATGAAAAAAAAAACAAAAATTAAAAGCTTGCAAAAGTTGATTAGAACAAAACAAATCACCAATGTCAACTACTACGTGCACTTGTTATGATATTCTTATCTCTCCTGGGTCTCAGTTAAACTGTGTAGTAAAAATTTTGAATCGTTTATTTCATTACGTTTCGGAGAGACAATAGCGCCATCATCAGATTTAAAATTTACACAAACTCTGATGCTTCAAAATTTTTACTCAACTCTTTGACTGAGACCCAGGAGAGATAAGAATATCATAACTTAAGCCCAGAAAAAGAAAGTAAGTTGAGCAATTTTGGTCTCCGCGAATATTTCGATAGGTAGGTAGTTGGGTAAGTATCAGTGGCTCAAATATATGTAAATTAAATTCAATTTGCTCCTTACCTCAATATACTGCGCACTGCAGCTACTCATCATAGTTCCACTAGACAGAGCATTAGACGTAGTTGGTACTGGTGCAATAACTGAGCTTACAGGCGAGAGTGGCGATGTTGTATGGTTACTGAACCCATGATGACTGATAGTAGTCGATGGTGGCAGAATCACTGATAAAACGGCACCACCATTGGCTACCGGTTGAACCTGGAATTAACATAGGAAAATGATTACTTATTCTAATAGTGTTAAAATGCTTCCGCATGTAGGTAGTCAGACAGCTAGTGATATTTACCTGGATATCGGCCTGTGGAAAACATAACCGTCCATTTTGTGGCTGCGTTGCTTGTCTGGTTTGGATCGGCATGACTTCCACATCTCGAACCACTAAACTTTGTCTGAAAAAAAGTAGAACTTCATATATAATATTCCCCAAGACTGCATTAGCAATTAATTAAAACAGACATTATTAAGTTGTTCTGATTTATTTTCCTGACTGCGTGTACTTGTTATGATATTCCTATCTTTCCTGAGTCTCAGTCAAAGTGTGAAGTAAAAACTTTGAAACATCGTTTATTTCATTACGTTTTTACTTCACACTTTGACTGAGACCCAGGAATGATAGGAATATCATTATTAAGTTGCAATGCTTACCGTGAACTGTTGTTTCCTTGCCTGGTCATTTCATTCTGGAAATTGATGCTATTAATAGACTCACTGGTTGGGATATGTCTTCTATCGACAATACTTTGGCTCGATGAGTTCCTTAGAGGACTGGCACTCAAATTTGTAGCTGTATTTCCACTTAAAAGTCGAATACGTTGAGTTGATCCGTAGATATCAAAGAATGCCCATAATCTATAATGAAAGGTAACTGTTAGCGTCAACAGAAAGATTTGTCACGCTCTGTGCATACCTAAGACTTTGGTCCACATGCATAACAACCAAAGGAGCGCCTCCGTTTTGGGAAATCTGCACTTCTCCATTTGGCGCTATGTAGAAACTAACTTCATCGCCTTTATTTAAATTTCTCGCAAAGTCTCGAGACAATACCCAGTATTCGGGCCGGTCCAATAAGAAGTTTGAATCGTCCGGTAGATCTGCCGTAGTTAACGTGGATGGATCGCAAGACGTTAATCCTAGAAATACAGTTTAGATTAAGCAACAACATCACGGAAGTTAAAAAGAGCTGTATTACCTAATCCCAGACACCCTTGGAACATCGGTTCAGTAGACAAAATTTGAACTATAATTCGTTCGGCTATCTGTAAAGGTCTTGCTGTGAAAACGTAACCCTGACAAAATTCAGTATCCGTCCTCATGGCCACGCTTCTGCAGCTACCTGAATATAAAATCAAAAATTACAAAATTGTTCGTCAGGAAATCATTTCAAGCCTCAGACTTACCACAAAATCTAACATTTCTTCCTCTGGTGCGATGAAACGGCATAGCTTGATAATTCATTGTATGAGGTTGGTATCTCAACAAGGGTAAGTTGAGATCTTGACTTTGAGACACGCTATTAGCCATTTGGTTTTGGTTGGCAACTTGTTGAATGTGCACTTGTTGCATTGCATATGTTATGCGATCTACTGGCTCGGGGGTGCGTGAATGAGCGATGACTGCCGCAGTCTCAGATGATGGCAAGGACGGTGCAACATTGGATCTGAATACACCAACAGATTACATGAGTAAATATCTTCTGAGGTTCAAACAAATTAATATTTATAAACAATTTTTAGATCTTTCGAAAGAGACTATCCACCGAGTCTATATTTCTGCCCTGTTGTGCACAATTTTACGTCTTATTAGTATTTTCGCTGGTGGGTTCGATTGCGTTTGTAGGTGTTCTAGTGAACTAGAAAAGCAGATAGTTTGGGTTAGTTATTAAGTACGTGTAGTAAGTAAAAGAGTCATTTGTTGTTAGTACAAAAAGTGG